AAAATCTCATTAAATCCGATGATCTCCCAAGTGGCGCTAAAACACCACGCCGCACTTGCAAAGCGATGGGCGGAGCGTCGGTGTGGGGAGGCGGGAATCAAAGTACGCAAACACCGAGTGTCACTTTTTTTATTCCGACAATAGAACACTAAAATACAAGAAAGTTCAAAAAATACAGAGGAAGAAAAACGAGATCGTAGCCAACAGTTTTGAAATCATTAGAACATGAATGGAAGTTTGAAATGAAGTAGTATAGGAAACATTATTCAAAAATTTGCATGCAGTGAAAAGTGTTTGTGGTAGATTTTTTGATTATTTCTTCTTCTTGACAACCCTCTTTCCTTTTGCTTTGGTTGTCGGTTCTTCAACAAGACCTCTATCAATCGTTTCCTGTCTCGTAAGAGCATAGTACGCGGGCACCATCAACTTCACTTCACAGTTTTTAGAACACTGACAGGATGCCAATCCGCCAGTTGGAATGATAATGTGGGTCTTCGCATCATACACTGGTGGGTAGACTTCTTCGTGATCGGCTGGGATTTTGCTGTTAGCAGTAATATCTTCCATCTGCAAAAAAGAAAGAAATTAGTTATGGTACAATTTACGGGGGTCTCTAGTAAGTTCTGATTGGAGAGTGGTCAGATTTTGGATCAGCCCGCAACTGAAGTCGGCCAAACTTAGCTTCCGACCTAGTAGTGTTTCAACTTTCGACTTATGACCAAAGTGTGGCCATGGCGCGCTTTACAGCCGTTTTTCGGGCAGGTTCCGACCAGCACGTGGCTAATATCCGTCCAAACGTCAAGCCTCGGTTAACTACTGACCAGGACGACAGCCGAGTTTGCAGTAATTCACTAGAACTAAAACTTCTCGGACGCGACTGGCACCTTTTAGGCAAATTTTTGGGCTTTACCGCCTTTCGGGAGAACATGGACTGCTTTTCGGCAAATTTGCAGCGCCGTCACCTTCTGAGTGAGCTTCGGACGCCATTTGAGAGAAATTCGAAGGTATTCTGTGTTTTAGGAGTAAAACTATTAGAGCGTAAGGCTTAGGTTTTCCATATTTAGATGTTTGAGCATTTTAAACAGAGTATGGCCAACCAGTAATCAACAGACGACAGTCGCAGCCGAGTTTTTCAATTTTTCTCAAGCATGCTGCGCGAAATTTCTTGACAATGTTTTGAAGCGCCTCTGCATCGTAGCTTGTTACGTTTCTAAATAATTGGGTAGCCATGCCGCGGAAAGATTACAGAAGTGCTGCAGATAAGTTGCGAAAGCCAAGCAGAAAGTTTTTTTTTCATAAAATGAGCTGATCACCTTCCTGCAGCACTTTGACAGTTTCTCTGCAGCACTTTTACAGCACATATTGAAAGATCACATTTTTGCATTGCTTTCGCCGCCTATCTGCAGCACTTCTTCAAGTTTTCATGTCTGGCAATTTCATGTGAAGGTTAAAAGCTAGGACACAGAGGTGCTGCAGAAAGTTGTCTAGAAACCCCGAGTTTCTTTTATCTCTTCGAAATAAGAAAACGCACCATTTTTTGAATCATCGCCTCCAATTCCGGAGAATACTTCTGCTGTGTTGATACAGAAGGACTTGCTTTCGTTGGGTCCTTGCTCTCCTCATATTCCCGAATCTTTGTCTCCCTGAACTGCGCCAACGTTTCCAAATATTGCCGTCGCTCTCTCAGAGCTTTGCACTCTTCTTCAACCGGCATTTTCTTCATGATGAGCTCCAATCGATTCTCCTCACACGCCTCCTTTTCATCCAACTTATTCAACCTCTCCAGGTAGAGGATTTCTTTCATGTGAGCTTCCTCATGCAGGCAGTATTCTTCAAAGTAGTCATCAGACTTCATCTCACACTGAAATGTGATATGTCAGGAGTTTTTGATTTTGAAGAGAAATGAAAAACTTACATATTTCTTGACGACGTATGAGTATTGCTGGTATAGGGCAGCTTGTGATGCATTTTTTGTCGTATATCTATTTGCAATAAACTCGTTCATTGCTTTTTTCCCTGTCTTGAAAACTCTCTCGAAGTAGTCTCCCGGCACGTGTCTGGCATCTTCATTCGGTGTTGGAGCTTCTTGAATCCTCTGGAAGAAGACTGTGGACCTGAAGACGCACAACGCTTCTCCGATTATTCCGTCGTGTAGCTTTTTCAGTTTTTCTTCTGCTTGTTGCTGGTTCATTTCTGAAAAATAAGGAATAAAACGCGTTAAAAACAACATGCAAGTATAGCAGTAATGAAAAATTGAGTAAAAAGATAAAAAACTTATTTCTCTAATTAAAACATATTAAAATGCCTGCATGTGTTCGCAAGGTCCATTGGAATACTCGGCAGACGGCAGAAAACGCGTTGCGTGTGATCAGACGCGACGCGGTTTTTTCAACACACAGAAAGCGTTGGGCGAGAGAGAGAGAGAAGAGAAGAGGAAAGAGGGAATAGGCAGTGAAAGGAAAGCCAAATGAGTAACAGAGAGTGATTCCTGCGCTGAACGTTACATTCATTAGGCATCAACGCTTCGGTTAGTGTAAATTCTGAGATGAAGAGTAAGATGAGAACATATAGAGAAGAGAGACAACCTACAAAGGTCAATTGAACATACATCCCAAGAAAAGAAAACGTTGAAAAGGTTATAAAAATTGAGACTTTGGGAACAATGATTGCTGGGAGAATAACGATTTGCGATTTTTTTTTGTTGTATGTATTCGTTTCGAAGCTTCTTTATTCAATTTTCCAAATAAGTGAGACTATATTTCTACAAAGGGAAAATTATGGTAGGCAAAATTAGGGTAATTATACGTTGAAGTAATACAGGTAAATTCAAATTTCAGCAAAAAACGAACAGTTATAGAGACTGCTGAAGATTTTGAAATTCCTGGATTTGTGGATTTACGCCGACGGTAGAATTATTTTCGATTGAAACTGCTGATTTTTCCTGGTTGGACAACATTTTTGGTTAATTGAGTAGCTTCAGAAGACGATAGTAAGGCAGCGATTTCATGAACGTTGGTGCCGTTGAACTGAAAAATTCGAAATCTGACAGTGAAAATCCCTATTTTACTTATATATATATATAAATTAATTCTGTCGCGTTTGAAACAAATTAGATTTATCAAAATCCCCCCCCCCCGAATTTTCTGATAGATAAATACTCTAAAACAAGCACACTTTGAGCTCAAATATCACGGTTCTTTCAAAAGGTATAAAAATTTTGTCAACTGATAAAATGGTTTTCATAAAATAACTAACATTTTATCAATTGACTGAGTTTTGGCAGTTTTCGAAGGAACTCAGATACTTGAGCTCAAAGTGCACGTAAACGACGTGCAGCATTTACTGTAAAAAGATGACTAATGGCATAAAGATAAGGTTCTGAATCGTGATTCTGCCTCAAGAAAGTTACCATATCATTATTCATTGCTTCTAATAGTGTGTTAATCGACTGCTCATCGTCCTTCTTGCTGTGACCAGTACATTTGAGGCCTGTGATTGAAAGCAGATCTGATGTTTGTTTAAGAATGTCTCGCGCCATCTGTAATTGATTCTCCACATCTTGTTTGGTTTCAGTCTTTGCTGCTTTTTGACGTTCCGCACTTTGCTCTTCAATTTTTGTTTGAATGTTCTTCTGATCTTCAAGCGAGATTCCTAGTGTTTCCGGAGAGTTGTTCACCATATTTTTGAGGTCTTCCAGTTTTGAGGTCTCGACTTCAACAGTCCAGGCTTCTTTTTCCTTTTTTATCTTCCGGTCCCAGAACTGTTCATGTTCTTTTTCAGCTTGAGCGTTGCACTGAAATATTTCACTTACATGGATGATGAATAAACATTTCCAATTACCTTCTGGCCTGCTTTTTCACGCCATTCCGAGATGCTCGCTGAAGGCATGTTCGGATCACTGAGGTAACCCTTAAATAACGTATCCAGTGTGTATTCCATCTCTTTCATTCCATCATTTTTGGATTTTGCCGTTTCTTCGTTCAAATATTCAAGTCGCTTGTTCCAATTCATTGTAATGTGCTTCTTTGGGATTGAAAAAAGTGCCACGGAGCGAAAAGAAAGCAGAGCCAGTTCAGTGAATTCGTCGAAGACAGCATTGAATTCGTCAACTGGACAATTTGTTTTTTGGTCCATATTCATTGGATATGAAGCTTCAAGCAAATCTTCAAGTTGACAAAAAGTTTGGTATGTATGAAAATAAATAAGGAGAAATATCCATAATTCGAAAGGTGCAATGGGGCGGGGTTACAATGAGATACCAATTGATTTAGGGGTACAAAATTCAAAATGTTCGGGCATTTTGTAACACGATTTGAAGATTATGTTCCCCCAAATCTCTTTGTACCTCAATGATCTTACAAAAAATGAAAGTATGTTTTTTAATCTCTAAATTATTTGCAAAGGAGTAATGTATCTAATTTCATAAAACTTGCGTCTAAAGCAGACATAGGTGTCTACCGTATAACTTTATCATCAAAATTACTGTTGCTAAATTAAAGAATTTTGGTTTTCAAGCTCTCCGTGTCAATTAATTTATTTTCACTTTTTACCGATAACTACCACTGTATTGCTAGTTGTACCGCGTACCTAAAGAATCGGTGAACGAGAACGAAGCCTTTCTCCAATTTATCAAATCAGATTTTTCAATTTTTGCGGACAGTAAAAAAAACAGCAATAATCCTTTTTCAGTACGCAAGGAGAAGAAAAACTTCTCTGGTTGACACGAGGCAAAGAAAAAGAGCAGAACGAGAGAAGATGCGCAGACACCGATGTAACAAATTTTTAGGTGATATCAGGCGATGGAAGAAAAATTAAGGAGAGATTTTTTCATTAAATTGAAAGGTTGTTTTGAAAGAGTGTAATTTGTGAAGACAAGGTCCGCAAAGAGCACTGCTCGCAATGGCCGCAACCTTACGAAGATGTGTGTGCAGTTCCGATAGTGAACCCACTCAAAAAACATCGAAGAAAGCTAGAAAAAAAGAAAAAAAAACAAACAACATTAATTTTTGAAATAATTGAAGCAGTTCAAAACACAGTAGTTATTTAAACTTTCACAGTATGGCTCAAAATTTTCCAATAATTTATTGAAGCAAAAAATATAAAATGCATCATCCCAGACAAGTAAAATGGTAGTTCAGAGGAACAAACGAAACGAAAAAGACGTTTGTTGTTTTCGAAAGAAAAGAAAATGTGAAAAGAAAACTACAGGGGAAAATAGAGAATTCGAAAAAGTAGGAAACACAATGTTTGTTGTTGTCAGGGTAGAAATGCAAAATGACAAATTCTCTTTAACGGGCTGTGGTCCATATCAAAATGTGATAGCTCACGTTAGATGTAATATGGGAATACATTTGTTGCGAAATCGTGAAGAGATAAAAATATATATAGGAATGAGATTAGGTACTAGAAGATAATGTCAGCGAAGGATATTACAAAAAAGAGTTATCGCAAACACTCTAATAGAATTACCCTCTCTCTACACTTCGAGCTAATTTATCTCGGTTTGTTGACAGCGGATCCTCAGTCAGTCGAGACCGATCCTATGTCCTAACCCGAGAGTGCTCGCGCGCCTGTAGCGCGCCCTAAGAACCTGAAAGTGTGTATGAGATAAGCGGTGCAAATACAAAACAGTACACAAAGTATCATTGACCCATTTATTAGAGAGAAAAGGATGGGGCCAAGACAAATGGTAAAAGACAATCAAAGAGGAAATACCAGCAAGAACAGAAAAAGGGGAGAATAATAGTGTAGGGCTAAAACCTGACGGCGGAGCCGCCAGGAAACCTTGCGGACCCACGAAACTGGAGCTGGTCAAACCTCTGATAGCCAAACGTACAAAAAGGGGAAAAACCTGGAAGTAAAATTGCCTAAAAAGTCCTTGGAGCTACCGGCGGCAAAGCGGTGCCCGGACGCAAGAGACGACTGCACGCGCGGAGAGTGAGCGGCGCCTGTCGGCTGGCGTCGCGGGTCTCGCCACGCGGGTGCGCCTTTAAAAGGGTAAAAGGAGTGGTAATTCAAATATGAATATTCGCATTGAATGAATGCGAGAAAGAATAATTTCACAGAATAATATCGGAAATAAGGGAAAATAGTGAATGAATAATCAAAGCAAGTAATTCAGGGGGATTTTGCGGGGAAAATCGGTAGACCCTGAGTTACTCTGCTTTCAGGTTGACAATTATTTGCGGGGAACCCGGTTTTTTGTCAACACGGTTCGTGTGAAAAATATCAAAAAGTGGCCAACTGACAAAGTAGTTTTGACGTTATATTGAACATTTGTCAGTTGACCAATTTTTGATATTGTTTACCGGAAATTAGATATACGAGCTTAAAGATGGCGGTTTGGATGGTGATCTTATTAGAGACTTTACGGAACGTTTAAATAGCGTTAAGATAAGAAAATGGAAAGAAAAATAAGTATTCCATTATTTTCGATTCAGGAGTTGTTTCAAAGTTTTCTTCGTAAGAGTGGTATTGTAGGTGTCGACAAGATCATCACGTTGCTGATTTTTTTGCATTCTCTGAAAGTTAAAAAAGTTACGAAAATATTTATTCCAGTTCTACCTGCATCATGTTCTCGCGAGATCTCTGTAAATTGAAGCTCCACCTTTCGGCCCAAAACTCGGTGTTGATTCTTATTGGATTGTTATCGTCATCACTTTCTTCGTCTTTGTCCAAAACTTCTGTCATTTTTTGATACAAAGAATCCGCTGATTCTACTTCGAGTTTCTCAGTTTCAATTGGTTTCTCTTTCTGTTCTTCTGATTTCTGCTTCTTGGCTTTTTCATTTTCAATTTTCAGATCTTGCTCCACTTCTTTGCTGATATCCATCAAATCTTCAAGTGTAACTTCTTCAAATTGAATACGTTTCAGCAAATGTTTTGCAGTTGGATCTTTTACTCTTTTCTTTATTGCTCTTCTCTTTCTTCCGCCAAGTCTGGCTCTTCTGTCAATTTCTGCATTCATCACCTTTTCTGCTACTTTCTCCTCCTGTTCTTTCCGTTTTTCAGCAAGCATAGCCTTCTGTTGCTCTTTCGGATCCAGTCTGAGTGACTTGAATCTCTTATTCATGTCGTCCTTCATCTCTTCTATTTTTGCAGTTACTATTTCTTGTGCGATATCCGCGATTGGTTTTGAATCCTGCTTGGTTGCGTTTTTCTGCTCAGCTGCCTTGGCCTCGAATTCTGCTCGCTCCTCCAGTCTTTTAGCCATTGTTTTCAAAGTATCATCTCCGATCTTCTTGAAATCAGTGCACAGCATATCGAGAGTCTGATGGAAACTTGGTTCGAGCCATTCACGAAACTGGAAAACTATAATTGTTCGAAAAAAAATGTTTCTTATCAGTACCAATCCATGCTTTCTAAGCAACATTCAATTGTTCTCAATTTTTTCAATACTGTAGTCAGTGCCGGATTAATCAAAACAATATACCGCTAGTACTCTAAGAAAACGCCACTCATAACTTCCGCTTCGAGCTCAATTATCTCACGTCGTATAAGAGATAACAAAATTCCGTCAACTGATCAAACCCTTTTCATTGAATTACTAACATTTTTACAGTTGACACGTTTTTAACGTCTCCCATAGATATTGAGATAATTGAGCCAACACTGTAAGTACAAGGTGGCCTTCTATTAGGTTGACGGTATGTTCTATATGTGATTAACGGATTTTGAACTAATTTCATTTTGCAAGCCTTGGCTCAAAATTTCAATCACTAAAACAAGACAGAGGTCTTCAAAATTTAGCCTACTGTATCTGATTCTATTGAAAGTTTTCTGATTCTATTGAAAGATTTCTATGAGAATGTTTTACCGATGATTCATGCAAGATTCACCTTCTTTTGAATCCTCTTCTGCAATTGAGCTCGAGATTCCTTCGGAGCTGTTCCATGACGAGATTTGTACTTTTTGTGCCATTGATCCAGAAAAGCTTCCAGAGTTTTGATGGATTTTGGGAATGCAGAATGGAAAACTCTCGCTCTCCAAGTCTCATTCATCATATCATCGACGTCCAGATTGCCACTGAAGTCAATTGCCGAGTTCTCGAAAGTAGTGACTGCCTTGTAAACAAGAGCATTGATGTCTTTGTCTTCATCGAAACTCTTCCACTCCGACTTATCGAATGAGAGATGGACATCGTCAATCTGAAATAGGTCGTTCAAAATTATGTGAATCAAAATTTTCAGTCTAAATCTTCGCAAAATGCCTGATTATTCTTCCTTCTAATTTTCAAATTGTGGCTCATTTTGAATTAGAATAAACTAGAATAAAAACTCATAAAAATACTGAATGTTTATTTACTCTCTTAAATAAAAAACAAAACATTTTGACTTAAAAACTCCGCCAAATTACTAGAATTCTTGATATAAAGGTTGAGAAACAGTGACGCAAATAGGCGTAATTACTAGGTAAAGTTGAAATTCTTCTCGTGCGAAGCTCACGAGGACCTATAATTTGTGCTTGTCGGTGCTGCTTAGAATTTTGAAACAGATAATTCAAACTGTCCTTCGATCTTACTTTTTGAAATATTTTGAGAGTTTCATCCATGCAATAGTTTTCAAGTTTGGAATCTAGTAAGAACTTTCTAGGATTTTTTTATCTTGAGGAGCTTAATTGAGAGTAAGAAAAAAAGTCGTGGAGATATTTTTAAAGTAGTTGGCTTAGATTGGAAAGGTAATATGAGCAACAAATAGTTATACATCACATTTCCAACATGCTTGTAGTTGACAGAATTTGCATATCTATTACAGTAATTGAGATAATTGAGCTGAAAGGTCAAATTTTGGGCGCCGTTCTATTGAAGCTATTACGGTAGTGCCTATTGATTTTTTTTTGAGAATCGAACGTGTCCAACCAATAATAAACATCATGTTTTCTCAATCTCATTTTTTAAAAGTTCGAGGAAATATCCACCTCACCTTAATTACAATATTTGGACATCCAGTAAGAAAGTTTCTCATATTTTTCTACAATCGAGTCCGATTCTGTTAGTTAGTTTTCTTGGAGAGCCATAGAAGTGTACCTTTCGGAGTTCTTACCTACCATAATCCCCGAAAACTCTCCCCCTAATTGTTCCGATAAATAATTGCTCTACTAGTTGCTCAAGAGAAATCAACATTTAGTATTACTCACCGCTTTGCGAACCACTTTGTCCCCTTCAGCAAAACATAACTTCTTATTCATTTTTCGAATGGAAGAAAAACTCGAAATTCACAAATCTGAGCAATGGGAGTCGTGGAAGTGCGCGTCGTGGCGAGGAGCGTCTACTCGCGTGTAGCTCCGCCTCTTTTTTTTTGGTGTCGCTTCAAGAGAAAAAAGGAAATAAAACATCCCCAGAATTGGCTTTTCCAACGTTTTGAAAGAAAGGGAACCCCTAACAACGGAGCACTAGATTCAATATGTTTTTGGGGTACTTTTTGAAACTTCTTGCAAAGTTATAAAGTAGCTTCAGAGATGTATCTTTTTTTATAATAAGGTGGTGTAACAGGAATAGCCTTTTAGGAAGTTTTCGGGATTTCAAAATCTCCTATTTTCGAAATTTCGGAATCATTCCATTTTCCCATCACAAAAATGTCGAAAATTAAGAAAAATTGACAAAAAAATTTCGAAAACGCAAAACAAGGTTAAAAGTTAGTCCGCTCAAGACCTGCAAGCAAATTTTGCGCATGCGCCTTCGACATACCGTAGTCCGAAAATCTTCAATGCCGAAACAAAGCTTCAAAAATGTTTCCGTCAAAATTTTTTCGGAATTCCGATATCTGTTTTTAACATCTCTATTTCTCCGAGTAAGGTATGTTCTAAGTTTCAGTAAACACTCAAATATATTCAAATTTCAAAATCGAAAGTGTCATTCAATGTTTGGTGTCATTCCTTATTGTCACGCGACGCAACGTTTAGTGCGTCACCTTTATTATCGATAAGTTCACCAAAATACTTCATGAGCTCACCTCATCTGGCCGTGGAATATTTAGAGGGAACATTTTGGTATGTTCTTCTGAAATCTATTAGGATATGTGTATGACGAATAGAATGATGACAACAGTCACAAGCTTCTTAGAACTTAACAAATCACCTTTTTTATTGACCGTGAGCTTTTGACGTCATTCAGTAAGTCTCACTAATTGGGAGATGTGCGGTTTCTGAGTGTCCGACTATAGTATGAATAATGTCACCGTCTACCTGAAGAAGTGAAAAGATAAATGTTATTCAGTTTGAGAGAAATGAGAAGAATCTAATTGCTCCGGCAACTCGTGGTGTTGAATTTAGTCCGTTGGGGTAAGTCACTTGACTCCTCATACTAGAGAGTATTTTGAAATTTGTTGTTGTACTGAGAAGAGACATCTAGCAAAAAATCTTGTTATTTGGTGTATCCGCTGCTTCGCTACAGTAACCCTTGTTTTTTAAGATTAAAAAAATAGGCTCCAAGCTAATTTTTTTCATGCCTTCCAAAAGTCAACAATTTTTTCGATCGTTTCTGAGTTTTTTTCTTTATTTTATGCCATCTGAACACTTCTAACAATTTCCGCTAAAAAACCAAACACAATTGTTTCAGAAAAAAATTAATGATGTTTTCCGGTTGTACTATGGGCGAGATTTCGTTTCTTCAATTAGAGCAAATGACCTCATTTTATTGTTATTTTTGACTAAAAGGAAAGAACCCATAAAGCACTTTTTAATAGGCTAGTAGGCGGTATTACGACACTCCTTTTCGAACTTTTATTTTTGGCATTCGAAATGTTCGTTCCATTATGTCCAAAAGTTTGGAGGGATCTGATAGACATATGAAAGAGCCCCAGTGCACAGTATTTCTTCTTCAATTATTGAAAAATATCAATCTGCTGATTTTGAGGAATCGGTCACCTTTTTTTCATCGCTTGATGTTACTCAAAAATCTTGATGGGATACAATCCGGAACGGTCATAAAGCTAGAGTATTGGCACAAAGTCAGTGCTTCATGGCAATTCCTCACAATAACCATTTTTGGCTTCTTACCCTCATCAATCTTTTCCTTCCTCTCTTTTAGAGATTAATCTAGTTTTCTGTCAAAGAAAGGAAATTAGTCCATAAAAAATTCTTAGGGGCAACTGCTCGGCTACCGTCTCTAAGATCCTAAAAGCTCTTCTCCACTTCTTTTCTATAGTCATAAAAATGTACAGCATCATGTCATCCGTACCTCACTATGTTCTTTGCTCCTATTAGACATTTCTTTTTCTTCATTTAAAAGTCATCTAGAGCGTTTTTTCTCGTTACTCCAGGTTTTAATCGTAATCTCAAATCAAACCAAAAAATCCACAGTCTTCTGGATAAAAATTGCAGTCTGGACTTTTGGTTCCTACGATCCTATCGAAATGCGAAAAAAATTTCCATTCGTTAGTGCTACTTATTCAGGACTCGATAAATTTCCTTTTTCCCTTCACCCCATTTTTTACTATACACCAATTTATTCTTCTGTCAGAAAAAAAGGAAATGAGCACATGAAAAATCCTTGAATTCGGTTGGAGACTGTCTATTCGGACAAATGCCCAACTACCGTTTCCAAGACCCTGAAAGCGGCCCTGTTCTCGAATCACGGAACGAAAAAAATCGCGGAACGAAAAAAAATCACGGAACGAAAAAAAAATCACGGAACGAAAAAAAATCACGGAACGAAAAAAAAATCACGGAACGAAAAAAAAGTCACGGAACGAAATTTTTGGGTTATCCAGAAAATTGCTATCTTCGTTACTTGACAAGTAATATCCGTAATACTAACTTTGACATCAATTTTACTTTGTCCAATACCCAAAAGTATACTAAAAAATGGTATATCAAGTTCTTAAATTATGCTAGTCAACAGGTTACATAGGACCTTTAGATCATCTAAAAATATAGTCCAAGGCTACATCGAGCAGTTATTGAGCTTGCTGATCATTTCGGGTGTTCCAGATAAAAGAACCATGGCGTTTCAGCCTAAGCCTGCGACTGAAAAAAGCTTCCTCAATCCAAAAACCCCACACAATTTTTGAAAATAGAAAAATCCGAAGAGAGCAATTTCATGCCAAGATTTCTACTCAAATTGACCCAAAACTATTCTTATTAAGGACCAAGTTTTTGTTCCAATAAGACTAATTTTGAATTAGAAAAGATTGTTTCAATTATAGGCTTAGGCTGAAGCACCATTTTTCCTTCATGTGGAACATCCGAAAAGTGGCTGCAAGTTCAATAAGACTACTCGTTTCAGCCTCGAATCTTGTTCATAGATGTGCCCATGGTCCTCAGATCTTCTGGGAAAGGTCATGTGTACCCAACTAGCTATGTACCATATCTATTGGTGTATCTTAAGGACTTAATATACCCTTTTGGGTATAATTTTGAGTACCAGTCAAAGAAAAAGTGATTTCAAGATAATATTTCAGGATAGTACTTGGATGAAGATCGTAGCAACTTTCGGACTACCCAAAACTTTCGTTCCCTGATTTTATTTTTGTTCCGTGATTCTAGAACAGTGCCCTGAGAGCTTTCCCGACTCCTCCTCTGATGTCGTAAAAATGTACAGAATTATGTCAGCTACTCATAATGTTCTCTGTTCTCTTTTTATTAATATTTTTGTCGAGGAGTCTTTGGGAACTTATGGAAACTAAAGAACATATTGTTGCAAAGATCTTCAAATTAATAAATTTAGCATTCAGTAAAGCTGGAACTTATTTTCTAGGTTTTCAAGAACTCATTGATATGTTCAGCGTTTAGTAGTTTATACATGTGGGCTCTCGTTATAATTTTGGATCTGTCAATAAGTAACTTCTTCCATATCCTAATCTATGTATATGATTTTTATTTCCTGGTATATTGTCACTGTTTTTCGAAAACTGACCCATTATCAATTAGAACCGGATTCAAATTTTTGAAACCACTTTCTTGTTATTGAGATGTAACGATGCATGTCAGATGAAATTTCCTCCTACTGGCTCAGCTGCAGACAATGCATAATTTTCACTTTTTTAGTGGAAAACATAAAACTTTTGGTGACTAAAAATGCGCAATGTTTATTTGATGTTTCTAGAAACTTTTCAACTATTTTGACGCGGAAACACATTTTTAATTGCTACTTTTTTCAGGTATGTCAGAGGAAGATCGAAAACTCGCCGAACGCCAACGCAAGAGCGATGAGGTCGCTGTGGAGGAGTGTTACAGACAAATTCAAACAACGAACGATATCGACTTGAGCGCGTTGTTCAGAAGAGTCTTCTTCGAGACTACCATGTCGTCAGCACTTCCGCCAGAGATAAAGAATGTGGTCTTAGAAGATGCAGCTGGACTAAATGGAGGAGCAGGACCAAGTCGTGGAGGACAGCCAAATGGTGATACAAGCTCTAACGGTGAGGTGGGAGCAACTGAACGAGCCCATATGAGTGGTATAGTCCGACCAAACGGAGCAGTGTCAAGTGTTGGAAAAAGAGAGAATGGGAAAGCATCTGAGCTTCCAGCAAGTCAGGCCAAAGAGTCGCGCGCTACGGTAACAATTCAAAATAATGTTTACGATATAATAATAAAACTTGCAGGCTGTTAACAACCGTAAGAGGGAGTTTGTTCCAGATGGCTCATCAGCTGATGGACAACGACCAAAGTTGGCTTCCGTAGCAACCCAAGATGACATCTATGGAAACTAATAATTGCTCAGTTTGCCGCCTCTGATTTGTAATTTTCTGAACGTCTTCAATTCGTTCTCTGTTTTTTTTTTCCTTTCATCTCCAAAATTGATATGAAATGCAATTTTCGTAAACCTCTAAAACAAAATTGACATAATCAAAATTTTTAAAGTAAAAACTATAAAAATCCAAAAATAATCAAACGTAAAATATTGATCTCTTCTGTATGTTACTCATAATTTTTCCCTGAATAAATTTTAAACGTCCGTCCTTTTCGTCTCACAAATTGAAAAACTTTTTTTTTCAGAATTTCGGCGCTTAGTTTCTGTTATGGATGCCTCTCGGTGTCACATGGGCGTTTTGAACAAGCACATTGAATATTCCAAAACGCCTCTTTTTTGGGACCAATTTTGAAACATCGAAAACACAATTTTCAAGAAAAGCAAACTTTTCAGCAATTTTTCTTTCAGTGTCACTTTTTAAGCACATAGTTCAAACATTTTCATAGTCGTTAACGCCCCAAAATTCGATCTTGATGTTCAAGGAAGACAGGGCATTGGTTTTATGTTTTTTTTTTAAGTTGTTTCAAAACATGCTTTCCAGAAAAAGCGTCTGAACTTCCTCATGGCCCATTTTCATGCTTGAAACTAAGACTGAAGCTCGACTGTTATGTTTCTGATCACTTTGAAAATTTTCGAGGGTCTAAAACAAACCTAGATGAGAAGCTTTCACAGAATTTTTAGAAAATGTCTCGTTTTTCTTCAATTTGCCGATTTCTGAAAAAATATCCATTTTTGTATTGAAAACGTGGGCAAAACATGTGTCTTTAAGAAATCGGCAAAAACCTGAAAAACTAGGAATTTTCGAAAAGTTCTGTGGTTGCCAAGTTTTTAATCAAGGTCTATTTTCCACTCTCCAAACTGTTCAAAATGATAGAAAATTTGAGATTCAAGCAACAGATTCCTCAAATAGTCTGAATGGCCAACTGAAATTATGTTTTTTGATCTTCTTGGCCGGTACTGTATGTTAATTTTTGTGGTTCCAGTTTTCCACTTTTTTTAAAATTAAGAATCAGTTGTGCTTTAGATATTAATTAAATGATATTCCTAATCAGCCTTCTCAGTTTTTGATAGAAATAAATCGACATTTGAAGTGAACTTATAATTATATGCAACAGTGTTTTGAAAGAAAATCAAAATTTTCTAATATCTAGGTTCTTTGAAAAAAAAATTGTTTTTCACCTACCATAGTTGAACTAGGGCTACTCAACAAGTTCTTAAAAAATTAGTGTTAAATGATTGTCAAATTTTCCAAGCATTAATGCAAATTGGAATCATTTCAAGTTATCTGCAAATGTTTTATCCAACCAGAAGTTACTAATGATCATCACCTAGTTAGATAATTTTAAAATTGTTATACTTTGTGCCATTTGCAGAAAAAAACCCAATCAGTTTCATAGTCATAAAGAATTTTATACGTTCCATTGAATATGTGACTAAACTATATAAGAAATGTGCGGTGACACACCTAGTGGTAGTAAGGACTGTATGTTTTCCTACTGACTATAACACATTCTTCTTTTTATTGTTTGGTGTGCAGGGTCTTATCTTTGAGACACCCACCATATCTATAAATTTCCTAACCCAGAAACATAATGACCTCAATGATCATCACTTGATCCAAATATAGAACTTCTTGATTTTCAACCCTCTAAAAATTGCAGTCTACAACAATTCAAATGATACGACCCGCGACTCGTTCAAGAATATATCTGAATTTCATAGTAATTGGATTGTTCCTGTATATATTTGCATTTTCTGAAGTTAGTTTTAATTTGTATTCATACCAATTTAATCCAGGATGAACTTTTTTCAGAATAGATTGACCCTGAAATATCGAGATTTCTCTGAGCAATGGGGAACTGAGCAGACGATAATGCATAATGATGAATACTGTATTCGCTATAATTTTCTGAACGCTACTGAGACGTACGTTCGGATAATCCAATATTCAAAATAAATATTTGAGTTTTAGATTTCGAGAAGAAGGCTTAGAGCCTGTGACATTAGCCATTCACGGCACGGCAGAAATGATGAAGATGATTGAACAGAAGCCTTCAAACTGGGATGGTCCTATATCACTTGGTCTTTTTGTGGATTTCCATTCAAGACAGGCATTGGATTATATTGCTAACTTACACTACTGTGATGCCGAATTTCGGAGAAAGGTATTTTTTCGAGATATACTGTAACTTTCAACTTCTAGCCATTTTTCTTGGTTTTTGTCAAAGATTATAAAAGCTTTGTCAACTGATTTGTCATAGTATACTGAAGTGTTTTGTCAGTCGACACATTTTTGCGATCTTTCATATGAATGGAGATTCTTGAGTTCAAAATTGACAGTGTTCTCACCATTCTTTGAAATGTTGTACGGTAACTAGGAATGCAAAAAACCTAGAACATTATCTTCATTGACAAAATTTTAATGACGTGAATGTCCTGTTACACACTTCAGATTTCATGTTCGAATTCAGATTTTGAAATTTTATTAGCCATGCAATGACTGCAATCAAAAATAGATTATAAGAAGTTTAAACTTGAATGTGTATTAAAGCACAGTTTTTATTCGTGACAGACAAGACATAATCGTAACCCTAGTGTTTGAAGTTTAAGTAGGGCTCCGAACTTTCATTGCATTGAACCGTTCTAATCGTTATGTCTGTCTTGAATTATTGCAAAAAAACCGATAAAAAATTTATAGAAAATATAAATGATTTGTCAACTGATCAAGTTTTTGCCATATTATCATTGACAATTTGTCAGTTAACCACTTCTCAATATCTTCATCAGGAAATGAGATATATAGGCTGAACGTTTGTTCAAAGGGAAGGCGTTTAATTAGAGTGTTCACGGCAAATATTACGGACAAGGAAAGTACCCAAAGTGTCTGCTCAGTTTTTCTGATATTAGTTATTTTTGGGAGCTCATATAACTTGCCAATTTTGGGTGTGAAAATTACTTCTCAATTGTTCGTTTATTCTCAAAATGTCCTTATAAGTCAACTATATAACTTTGTTTTTGTAGTTTACTGATTTTTTGTAAAACCACTTGCTGATAAAATACCTAATGTGAAACGGAAAATATCTCATAAAGTAACCACTGAAATTGCTGAGAAAGGAATACATTTTTTTCACGAAATCTCTCTTTTTGGGAAGTCATTTTACAAAAAAAGTTGTGAACTACGAAAATAAAGTTCTATGATTGATTTATAATCCCTCAGTATTAAAGACCAGACGAAAAAGTCATAAGTACTTTTTAAGACACCCAAAGCGGATCTTTTTCAACTTAATCGTTCATCACACGCTCAAATTTTGGTCAGCACTGTTTATTCAATTATTACTACAAAATATTCACATTTCAATTTTTAAAAGACGCCGGTGATAAGCAAAAAGTAGCTCTTTGATCACCAATTTTAATCCTCTCATTGCAGGTAACAGTCCATTTTGCTTTCCGCTTTTCTGCTTTCCAAGACAAATGTCCACTGATAAAAATAGCATCCAATACGATAGAATGTGAAGAATTCCTGAAGAACCGTATGTATAAGAAAAAGATTGATGAGGGTAGTGAGCCTATTATTTAGGGGACAAGTATCGAAAGTCTGTAGTGGGATCTTTCCAACTCTATCCGAGCAATTTGATGAGAAATATTGCGAGATATGGAGCAAAATCCGATATTCATTTTATAGCAGATGTTGATATGATCATGAGTGAGAATTTCGCTACGAAAATTAAACCAATTGCAAATGAGATGATTGATGGGAAAAATAAAAAATTGCTAGTAGTGAGGTCAGTTTGAAAAAATTTATTATTTTCCAAAAATTCGAGTTTCAGAAGATTCGAAACCAACACTACCACTATTCCTAAGAATCACAAAGAACTGGGAATTGCAATTAAAAATAAAACGTATGGAGCAATAAAAAAAGGTATTGAATGGATTTTTCGATTTCCAGAGTACACGAGTTTCATCATAAATTTTTCTTCTCCGGGCATCGTATCGAGAATATATCTCATTGGTTCAATATTTCTGATTCTTCAGATAAAATCAGTGCATGGGAAATTCCTTACACGTTAGTTTGTACAACCCACTTCTTTCTTTTGTATGAACAGTTTTTCAGAAACAGTTTATGGGAGGTACAAGTTATTCTGCACAGAAATGATTTATACAATGCTGATTACTTTCCAGCAAGGATAAAAGTGATGCAGTCGTTGGTTCGTCATAATCACCAATTTTTAAAAATAACTTTAAAATTTTCAGATTTATAGTTTGTGTCGGGCAAATTACACATTTAATCTACTTTCACATGTTTTTGATGTTCACCAAGGAGTGAAGCTTGATGATACGAATTATTCGAAATCAGTAATATCGCATTCCCAAAAATTTGGAAAACAAATGTGAGCATAAGAAAAACCTTTTTTTTCAAGTTCTATTTCTTACTATTGAAAACATTTCGCAACAATTGCGAAAAAATTTCAACTGTCTAGGTTTTCACAAAAACATAAAAGTTCTGAAGATTAAAATTCATTATTCAGCTCCCCATGGCAGGATGTAACTTTTTCATATATTTACAAAAAACTTTTGACTTCAAACAATCGTTCTCGGAATTTCAGAGAATTGAAATTTAGTTCAGGGCTTCTTCGCATGTCGAGTTTTGAAAAAAAAATTCAATTCTCTGAGAAGTTTTTTTTCGTATAGTTTTATTCCTGTACACCTAGAAAAATTATTTGAAAAATTTTTAATCATCAGTTAGAATATCAGAAAACTGTTAAATTTCCCGAAATGTTGTTTTAAAACAAATGTTTTGCTTTCATTTCGAGCTAAATTATCTAGGTTCCTATTAAAGGTGTCATAACCTGGTCAACTGATAAATTATTTGACATAATAATATCAACAATTTCATAGCGTACACATTTTTGATATCTCTTACAGAATTGAAGATAGTTTTGCCCAAAGTTGAAACATAACAGTCAATTTGGACCTCGATTATCTCGATTCCCGTGTGTATCAGAAATTGAAAAAAAAATTAAGATATCAGAAATTCTTTAACTCGTGACTTACTGACATAATATTACTAATATATTATTGCTATTACTAATATATGATCATAGAACTACTAATATTTTATCAGTTAACAAATTTTTGATATCTTTCATAGAAATCGAGATTATTGAGCTCAAAGTTAACGTGTTGGGGGGAAGAGCTGCTGTCAGAAGAAACGCTGTGTTTGAACCTTCACGGTACATCCAATTTTGACTTATTTTTCAGAACACGTTGTTCAAAAATCTTCCCGAGTACCAATTACTGTAATTTCCTATTTCAGAGCCTACAACCGATATGTCAAGGAAATGAATGAAAGCTACCCTCTCACTCTTAAGCGTTGTGGAAAATTTACGATGTAAAACTGCTGCATAATTATCTTGTTATTTTCAAAATTTTGGTCTACTTTCTATGAAAGGATAAATTAATATTGTTTGTGCCTCCATTTTTATAGTTTACTTCCAGATACCGTGTACACCAATAGAACGGCCTCTGAGCCGTCAACTTTAAGCCCACATATCTCATTTTCTGTAGAACTTATCAAAAAGTGATCAATTGAAAAAAAAAGTTGATCATAATGTTCAACATTTTTTGTCAGTTGACCACATTTTGATGTTTTGCATAGCAAGGGAGATAACTCGGCTCAAAGATAAAAGTTGAACCGTGAATATTCCACCAACTTTTTCTTCCCACTTTTTCCGTGACGTATGTCTCCAGAGGATGCCCTACAACATGAACAAAAAACATCTTTGACGTTTTCATATGGATGACTTTCTTCGGAAGTGTTTCTCCGAACAAATCTGTCATTTTTCGCTGCGGAGTTTCAAGAATCTCGATTTCTGTTCTCCTGAGTCTTAGTTTCTTTGTATAAAATCGTCATTTTTGAAATTTTGTTTTTCAAAACCTGTTTTCTTTCATGAATTGTTGTTATTATTATTTTCCCGTTGTATCTCTCGAAAAATATGAATATAAATATTTGCTACTGATGTATATAATAAATCAAAAAACCTATCTTTTGGTCTTTTCCTCCCCCACCAAAAACCCTATTAAGCCATTCGGCAGCTGTCCTCTGTTGCAAGAAAAAGATAAAACGAGAGGCAGAGAGACAATGAATGGGATTATTATCCTCTTTTCTCCCCCACCTATGCTTTGTTTTATTTTTATAGTTTGGTCACCACTGTATGCATAATAAACGACCCCATCGTTCTATTGTTCGCTTCTGCAGAAGATGGTTTTTAGGAACAAACAGCTGTTTTTGTACACTGTAGTACTAATTGAGGTTCCTTCAGAATTTTTTATAATCCACAAATATGTTTTCTCATTCAGCTATCTTTTGAATGTCTTATGTGACCTTTTTATTCCATATTCGATTTTCCAAAGTTTTCCAAACCCCATAAGATCTGTACAGTTTTTATACCAATCCGATTCAATTAAAAGTTCATCTTCTCCCAATCCTTTTGCCGGATTGATAATCCGACGGCGACGCGTAAACCTTGCGTAGACGTTTTCTGTCGCCTCATATCTCCTCCTCCCAACAGTACGCAAACAATTGTATTGGAAATTGGGTGGGGGGTTATTCTTATAAAGGTCAGGCAACATCTTGGGAACATAAAGAGAAAGCAGAATGAGGAGAGAGGAGGAGAAAGAAAAGTGGACTAATTATGCATACATAGGTGTGTTGCGGAGACGAGGAGTAGGCGGAGAGGAGGACGATAACGTGGCAGTTATTATCGATTCACTTTCCGCATGGTCTGAACCGGCATGTTCTGCTTCTCTTCTCCTCTTCTGACAGCCAATTGATTTGTTTCGTCGTCTTAGCCAATTTAAGTATTTTTAAGTTAGTTTTTGACCTCCAGCTAGTCTAACAAATCTTGTCTAATACTATCTAGGTTTAGCACTGATTCTTAATGCCACCATCTCAATATTACCGTCTGCATCTTGTTATCCTTTCCGCCAGTCTCAAATTGCAATGGTTCCAGGCACAGTTACTGATGGCGGTCGGCCAACTAAGAAAGCCAGCATTCAAGATTCGCTCGTGCGATGGTGACATCTTCATTGCTCAAGATTGGCTCATTCAAAAATCGAAATGCTTCTCTGTCGTTTACCCATACATGAAGGATTCGGCTCAACCCCTGCAAACTACCGTATCCAGTTTCATCTTCGAGAAAATTGTCCAATGGTGCTACCACCATCGCAACAACGACGATTCCACCCTATTCCAGCGGACAGTTCCTGAGTGGGATGCCCAATTCCTTCAATCCAACAACGCCATCGTACTCCATCTTATCGAGGCCGCGTACCGTTTGGAAATCAAAGGACTGTTGAACATCGCCTGCAGAGCGGTGTCGACAATGCTTGGAAAATCGTTGACCGAGGTGAAAGTCATGCTTCGTGTTGCGGAACCAGAGGAAATTTTGGAGCTGGAAATTAGAGCCGATAATGAAGCCGCCGACGTTGAAGCTGAGATGATTCCAGCGATTTCAGCTGCCTGAGAGATTTCTCCAGTCACTGCTGACCACATTTCTGTGCCTCCCGAACTTGAATTGTACAGTACACACGCCTTTCGCCATGCCAATATATATATATAACAATATGTATACTAATTGTATTTTTTCACACTTTTCTCCCAAATTTATCCCAAAATCAATCTCTAACCAATTTCTATATTTAACCTCTCACTGGTCACAAACTCTTCCAGAAAACTTCGTCAAATTGCCAATTTTCTCCACTCAGTTTATGTACCTTTTTGCTTATATTCTATTGTATTATCCTTTTTAATCTCCTACTAAAATTTTCATTCCAAAACCAGCCACTTGTTTTCTTGTTTTAGCAAGTTTCCATTCGTTCTCAAATAAAACAATTGTCTTTCTCAAAAAAGCAGCTGTTCAGAAAAATTACTTTTCCTCTTTAAAGAATAGCAGACGGTCGTCCATCTGTCTATATATATATATATACATCCGTCACTTGAACCCCCTCTCTCGAGGAAGTCCCAAATAAATCACGTCATCGTTCTTGGCAACCGAATAACCCGTTGTCGGCGTCCTCCTCCTCTTCTCCTCGTCTTTATGCTCAAGCCCTGGACCGCGTTTGTGTGTGTAGCCGTTCGAGGGACGCGCAGCGGCCGCGTCGCGGCTTTCTTCTTCTTCAGTAATAGGTATTTCTAGGAAGATTCGTTTTTCTAACGCTAGCAAAGTTATTGTTAGGAGAGAATAGAAAAGTATCTGGTTCTAATGGAAATGATAGTGTACTGTCCGATTCTCCGTTCAATTTGGGGACGGCTAGTTCTTTTCATCTTCATGGCGAATTGTTGAAAAGAAGTTTAATTGCTTTTCTCGAGAAGATCCTGTCCAAAAACCTATTTGACCAATATAAGAACTTTTGTTTATCGAGAAAAGCAACAAAAAGACACGTGACCGCTCTATGTTTGACTTCGGCCACGGCCGTGGCCGTGAATCGATGAAAATGCGAGAGTCATTTAGAAGTTAAGCGAGTGCAGACATTTTAGTGGATCTTTTTCATCGCAAACGTTCTTTCATTTTAGTTTCCAAGTTTTGCCTTTTCACGTGACAACCTTGCCAATTTTTGTGATGTTTCTTGTATCAAATCGAAATTTAGAGTGAATTCTTCTGTTTCGGGCACTTATCAGTATCTTTCTCACTTTCTCTCGGTCCTCTTCATTCGTTTCATTCCAAAACAATAGTCTACTGATTTTATTACTTTGTATCAATTGTGTGGCCGCATCAATTATGTTTATTAAATTCCTCAATAATAGTTTATGAGTGCCGTTCGAAGCATAAACTATAGTTCTTGGAATGTATAAACTTTTTCTCACATGTCCCTCTCGTTTTTTCCACGATTCTTTATTCTTCCACACACTAAAAATTTCTATGAATTTCAGATGATCCAAATACAAGAGCCAGTGGTCCTCTACAAAATCCGCTCCATTGATAGGCAACGATTCTTGATTGACCGACCAACGGTCGCCATGATTGGCCGATTGGATGAATTCTTCATGAATGCCGGATTGGACCTGATCCCCGCTGACGACCTCAACGCTGTACAACTCGAGGTGTCTGCCCCAGTGCTCCGCAAGGTTATTGAATGGTGTGACCATCACAAATTCGATCCACCACACGACGAGGCTCGAGCTGGAACCGGCGACATGTCTGAATGGGATACCAACTTCTTTATGGTGAGACACAGTGTGCTGTTCGAAATCATCAGGGCCGCTAGGGACTACGATATTCCTGGGCTGTTCGCCATGTGCTGCCAAATCGTTGGGCAGAATCCAGAGGTGGTTATGGCTGGATTGTTGGATGATGACGATGACGATGCTGTTGGTGGAGTTTTCCGCATGCGAGTTCAACAAAATGCTCCAGCTGCCTAAGCTGCTTTTTTAAAGAATAATCGCCAACATTTCTTTTACCATAAACACTCTAATATAAGGCCGCCAACTTTGACCAACCTTGAACTCTCGGTTCCTGTAAGAGATATGAAAAAGTGATCAACTGACAAAATGTTTGTCTTAATATCAGTTAAATTTTGTCAGTTGACTACTTTCAGGCATTTTTACAAGAACAGCGATATTTGAGAGTTAAGGTTGACGGCTCGGGTGGCCTTCTATCAGAGCGTTTACGATATATTCATTCTTAATTTTTCTAATAAGCTAAACAGAATTTTTTGTTTCTTTTTTTCCAATCATTCCATAGTGCTAGTCACGTTTATTTTTGTAAAACAAATTTTTATTGCATTTCTCCCATCCCTGTTTCAATTTTCGTGTAGATTTTGTACCATAGTTATCTTCTAAAGCCATTCAGTTTCTTTTCAATGATTCCAGTGCTATTTTTTCCTGTCATTCCTTTTCATTCAATTTTTTCCCGTGTCTACTTATTTCTTTGAAGAATAAAGGGTCACATGTTATCGATTTTTTCTCATATAACTTTTTTTTTGGCGAAAACGGTTTGATTCCGATTGCTATTACTTTTTCCCATTATTTTAATGGCGAGAACTTTGGGATTTTTTCAATAAAAAGTTTAAATTTTTCAGTCAAAATGCCTACGGCGCTGTACAAACTCAAGTCGGAAGATGGACAAATTTTCGAGGTCGAGCGAGCGCCGATGATTGTTTCCTCGTTCATCAACCAAAAGTTCATTGATCAAGGAGCCAACGACCGGAATTGTGATAGGATGGAGCCAATTCTTCTTCCATTTAACGGATCCATCATCTCCATGATCATCAAATGGCTTTACCATCATCAAAACGAGGCACCAATGTCCAAAAAGCTAAGATATTGTGAGTTTCAAGATTGGGACAAGGAATTCTTCAAGATGGAGTCAGGAGTACTGTTTGCGCTACTAAACGCAGCTCATGCACTTGGCATCGAGGATTTGATGAATATGGGATGTTCTGCTGCCGCTGAATTGATTCGAGGGAAGAATACGGAAGAAATTAGAAAGATTTATGGAATCCGGACGGACGAGGAGCAGATGGAAGATGCTTTAGCGGCTGGTGGAGAGGGAACGTCGACGACTACGTTCACAGTGGATTGAAAAATAAAAATCGCATTTTTTATTCGCAATACGATGATAAAAAATCAATTATCACTTCCATGCTTAATCAATTCATGCTTGAAGCTACATGTGTAATAATTTCTCAATGACAAACTCAATAAAACAGTGTTTTTTTCTTGAATTAATACACTATTCTGAAATTTGTAAAGAAAAAATGATATTTTCCGAAGTGAGAGGTCCGAATTGGGATCATTCTCAGAATCTATTAGGTTGGCAGGAACGTAACTGTCCATTTTTTATTAGTAAATAACACAAACACCAGAAAAATCCATAATTAGCAATATGCACCGTCGTGATCCACAACATGTTGGCAATGTTCAAGTAACTCGTGGGTACCATCCCTCCAAAAGCCAGCTAGTGGCAAGTCAAAGTATCCCTCCAGTTCATTTTTTCAGGCATCAATTGTGTTAAAGTCCTTACGCTCCAGATGACGTCGTATACTTTTGAATAACAAATGATCTAATAGAGCTGAATCAGGTCTTTAACGGGGGTAAAGGAGAACCGTCCAGCCAAAGCGGCTCAGGTACGGCGTGACTTTCCGTGAACATGAGGTTTTTTTCATTTTTTACCTGCAGTCAAGTCAGACCTGAGCAGCTTCAGCGGGACCGTTCTTCCTCACCTACTTATAGTCTTGACTGAGTTCTATCAGATTATTGGATATTCGGAGAGATACAACCTCATCTAGAGAATACGAAAATTCGCACCATTTATGTGAAAAACAGGAAAAAATGAATACTTTGATTCGTGGCTAGCTGGCTTTTGAAGGTATTGTATCCACAAGTTATCTGAACATTGCGAACATGTCGTGAACCACGACGGTGCTGCTAATCTTGGATTAATCCTGCTTTCATTATTCACAAATAAAACAAGGGACAGTTACTTTCCTGCCAACCTAATATGTGTTACTACCTTCACTAAAATTATCGTATTAAATTTTTACAAGCTTTCTTAATCTGCAGAATGATAGAAACGTCTAAAAAACTGAAAAATATTTCTTCAACTTGTCATGGGAATAGTTCAAAAATCAAAATTCAAAATAATTTATTGTATGTTTCAGCGGGGAAAAAAAACTAACAAACAGTAAAGAAATTGCGAAATAACAGCAAAACCAAAAATTTCAAGTTTTAAACCATAATTAGCAATGTTTGGGTAATTATTCAGATTTTCGGGAGTTTTTGAACCTTATAATCTGCTGAAAACAAGTCAATACATCACAAAACTAGATATTCTGGAAATTTTGGCACAAATTGACAGACAAATCTTTAATTTATGCTCTAGCACTGAAGAATTCAGAAATAAAATATCTTTATATTTATGATATTCGGGTTGTCCATATAATTTTAAAAAGTTGCGTGAACATTAAATCAACAGAATGTGAGTTTTCGTAAGTTTAAATGCAAGCAGAACGGGATTTTTCGGTGTTTTTGCAAGTATTTTGCACTGATAAATGTTCCTGAAACCTAGAATTTAAATTGCTCCATCTTACAGACACACTTGATTTCTTAATGACCACATGTTCGTTATCTCAATAGTACTCTGATGTTTTCCCACTCATTTGCGGTTCTAACAAACCCATCTCAAAGAACCAGAGACCCTCTCGTTATCTAAGTGCCTATTTATCTTGTTACCTAACCATTTTCCATGATGCATTGTTACGCAGGTAAATACGCAATTTGATTGACACGTTCTTCATCTCGTTTTACCCAGAAAAGGACTAAATTACTGTCTGCCAACAGCCTTGACCCTCGACGATGGCTATTATATTTTATCTATCGATGCAACTTTGCAATATCTTTTCTAATTTCAAACATCCCATGGAAAACACAATTTCACAACATTGTTACTTCCTTATCATTGTGTGTACATGTCTGTTCCCCGATTTCGCACTGATAGTGATCACCAAAATGTTGGGTCAGGCCATTTTTGAATGTTGAGTTCCGAGGACCGATAATAATTATTCATGACAGCTGGAGAAGGATGAAAAACGAGACAGTTGACCTTGCAGCTGCTGTTGTGTGTATGTGAGCGGCGTCGGCGATAGAAAAAAGGGGAGGAGTCATGAAAGAAAAAAGATAGATGGGCACAATTGAGATAGGGTTCGACAGAAGGCATTCAGTCAGTGTCATCGACACGATGAACCGCTGTATTATCTTGCTCCTCGGAGCCCTTCTCTTGGTACAAGGACTTCATATTCACAAGAAGCAACCGAAGTTGAGAACGTGAGTGTTAGGAGGTGGACATACATCGATTTTCGTTGTTCTGGAAAGGCGGAATCGGTGAATTTTCGGCCCTAAGTGATGTCATAAATTTGTAAATTTAAGTGGAGTTTTTGAAAATTGCTGTGCTAAACAATAGTAACACTATACTGTAACATCATTAGAATTCGACAAATCCAAATGGCAAGTTTTCGAATGGTTATAAGGTTACTGTATTAGTTGATTTGTGAACAACTAGAAAAAATTACAGTACCTGTTAATAGAATAGACAGAAACGTATTTTTCAGTTTCTTCTTAGCCAGTTTAGGTGTCTGGAGCTCAGCAATAGGGTCTCTGATCAGTTTGAAAATTTTTGAAGGTGTAAGTCAGAACTCGAACAAAAACTTCACAGTTACAGAATTTTTCGACAATTACTAAATTATCAGCTATTGGCCAATTTCTGAAAAACACCTCATTTTCTCCTTTTTTGTACTGAAAACCTGAAAACAGCAGGCGTTCTTCAGAAATCTGCGAATAACTGAAAAATTTGGAATTTTCAAAAATCCTGTGAATACAAAGTTTTCAGTTTGGGTCTGTTTTTCACCATCAAAATATTTTCAAAAAGATCGGAAACTTGACAGTCGAGCTCCAGACTCCTGAAAATGGGCAGAATCATTGAAAATAACTGCAAAATTCTTTTTCTATTTTATTGACCGATACTGTGTATTGTTATTTTCCCAGAATTAGACAATGTCAATTATCACGTTTTTGAACGGTTATGAGGTGAAAGCTTCAGTTCATTTCTGAAAACCGTTAGAAATCAGGCCAATTGTCCGAATCCCAATTTTTAGAACTTTCCAGTATGCGTAAATTGTGGTTTTTGACTTCCTATATTTTCTCACTAATAGCTTATCCATTCCCCCATCAACATACCCCCCCCCCCCCCATTATTTTTGATGTCTAAGAAACAAAAAGCGCCAAACCACGCCACTTTTTCTCCGCGGGGCCATTGGTCACAAGACCCACCTGCTTCTCCGATTTCTTTTTAGTGTATCAACAGAAAAATAATCCGAACAATAAGACTAAAAACAAGTGACCCCGTGGAGCCACAAGTGTCAGTTGTTCACTGTTTTCTTTGCAGAATCTCACTGAAGAAGCAGCCGACTCTTCGCGAGACTCTTCTCCAAGCCGGGACCTTCGAGACTTTCGCTAGACACCGTCATGGATATCAGAAGAAGTTCCTTAAGCATCATGGAAACCACCATTTCGACAAGTACAACGGTGTGAAGCCACTTGGAGAGATTGATGAGCTCCTTAGAAATTATATGGATGCTCAGTACTTCGGAACTATCTCTATTGGAACTCCAGGACAAAACTTCACTGTGATCTTTGACACTGGATCATCTAACCTCTGGGTTCCATCCAAGAAATGTCCATTCTACGACATCGCATGCAGTAAGTATTATTTCATCACTGATTACAACTTTTTAACAAACACTTCGATCAACACTGATACAAACTGACACATGCATGTTTTTTGACAGTTTTATGATTAAAGCAAACAAATAAAGCATAACTATTTCAGTGCTTCATCATCGCTACGACTCAAAGTCCTCTTCAACCTACAAGGAGGATGGAAGAAAGATGGCAATTCAATATGGAACCGGATCCATGAAAGGATTCATTTCCAAGGATAGCGTCTGTGTCGCCGGAATCTGTGCTGAAGACCAACCATTCGCTGAAGCAACCAGCGAACCAGGAATCACATTTGTTGCTGCCAAATTCGATGGAATTCTTGGAATGGCCTATCCAGAGATCGCAGTGCTTGGTGAGCATCATAGCACAGGTTTTTATATCTTCAGGATTTTGTTTCAGGTGTTCAACCAGTTTTCAACACTCTCTTTGAGCAGAAAAAGGTTCCATCAAACGTTTTCTCTTTCTGGCTCAACCGCAACCCTGACTCAGAGCTTGGAGGAGAAATCACTTTTGGAGGAATCGACGCCAGAAGATATGTGGAGCCAATCACCTACACCCCAGTCACTAGAAAAGGATACTGGCAATTCAAGATGGACAAGGTTGTTGGATCCGGAGTTCTCGGATGCTCCAATGGATGTCAAGCTATTGCTGATACAGGAACTTCCCTGATCGCCGGACCAAAGGCTCAAATCGAGGCTATCCAGAACTTTATTGGAGCCGAGCCACTCATCAAGGGAGAGTATATGATCAGCTGTGACAAGGTTCCAACTCTTCCACCAGTTTCCTTTGTCATCGGAGGACAAGAATTCAGCTTGAAGGGAGAAGACTATGTTCTCAAGGTTTCTCAAGGAGGAAAGACTATTTGCCTGTCTGGATTCATGGGTATCGACCTTCCAGAACGAGTTGGAGAGCTCTGGATTCTTGGAGACGTCTTCATCGGAAGGTTTGTCGCTTTCGCGCGCCAAGTAAAATTTTTAAGTTTTTTTTCTAGATACTACACCGTCTTCGATTTCGACCAAAACCGTGTTGGATTCGCCCAAGCCAAGACTGCCGACGGCCATCCAGTCGATCCAGCTCCACGCAAATACCGCTCGGTTTTCGACGACGAGGAGAGCGAGGAATCCTCCGAGCAAGACGATCAATAAGCTTTCAGCTTTCAGCTAAACTTCCAGCTTTTAAGTATTATATTTTCTCAATTTGTGCTTTATTTTGTATCTGTAATAAAGTAATTTTCTTAACAACACGATTTCATTGAAAAAAAAATCAATAGTTCAAGCCACAGAAGGCCGGAACAAAATATCTCCACTTTTCCCGGAGGCATTTGTATCTGTTAGCCAGGAATAAAACTTTTGAGATTCAGTGTGCTTGTTGGGTCCCTGAAAAATCCAACTTTCCTTTAAAAATGACAAATATTACCTGTTTCGGCACTGGAGACCCCGATTTTGTAGGGGTATACTGGTGTGGGTCATCTGAATCGCTTTGATTTCTGGATCCCGGCTCATTATTATTTTTCGGATCTGGTTCATCGATAGGAGTCTTCTCTGGAATTGCATCTTTGTGTTTCTGCTCCTCTTCGTCTTCATCTTTTTCAGGAGGCGATGGTTTTGGTGGGCACATTGCGTATAAGCTAGCAAAACATCCGTTGCCTGCCCATTTTTTACATGTCTAAAGTAATTTTTCAGGTCTTCCACTAGAATTGATAATTCTTACATTCAGATGACAATATGTGTGGCAAACAAATAATGCTGGTCCAAACAGGAGAGCCATACAAGTTACCAAGATGAAAACGTAGAGTTTCTAAAATGATTACTCCTAAACTTCTGTGAATCCATAGAATCTGGATACCTGATGCTCGGCTGCAAATAAAATCATCAACCAGATACTGAACAAGTATTGCGAAATCAGCACGAGCGATTTCACAGACCGTCTAGCCCAATAGCATTGGTAAATGTCTTGCGATGGTTGTTGTCGGTCACATGCTATACATGCTAGTTGAGCTTTCAAGCCAGCTATAGTCAGGAGAATCCAAACTGGAATCACAAATCCCCAGAACATATCCACAGTAGAGTCAGCGAAACAACTGAAACTGTGTGACTATAATTTTTCGAAGCAAAGGCAACTGGCATACTGTAGGTACGCGGTTCCATAATATTTTTCCTCTGTAAAAAATGTGGCTAACGTTGGAGCCACCGCTAGAACAATAGGAAAGAGGTAGTAAAGGATCCAAGGGACACTCCCGTTTTTGTCAGATTTCCCGTGAACCATTCTGAAACTTTCAAGTTGATGATAAAAAAAATTATTTTCGTTACTGACGATGACGCAAAAAGTGCTTCCGCGAAAAATATAGCAGCTGTTAGACACATGAAGAAATGATTAAAAATTGCAACAAACTTGCAGACTTTCTGAAAATCCAAAAACATTATTATAACATTCACAAGATAAATTACCGATTTATGATTAAAGATAAAGTTCAGAATACACATGCAGACAGCCAAAAGAATAATGGAGAGTTCTTCGTAGAAATGAACATACCGTTGGTGTCCTGTGTTTCTAGAGAAAAAAAAAATGAAATTTGATTATTTATTTATTTATTCCGTATAGAAAATATCTCTCTTAATTGTTTAAATTCGTGAAAACGGCTGGAGTTTAATTGAAAATCATTGGAACCCGTAAAACATGAAAAAGAAGGATCTCTTGAAAATTTAAGTCAATTTTTCCTTATGAGCAAGAAACTTTCAACTTTGAGCCAATTTATCTCGGTTCATGTGGAAGATATCGAAAAGTGATCTACTGCCAGAATGATTATAATATGATAATAAACATTTTGTCAGTTACCTACTTTTTGATATCTTTTACAGGAAAAATGAGATATATGAGCTTAAAATTGACGGTTTGGGGGCATTCTAATGCAGTAATTTACTGTAAATTTGATTCAATAATGGGTTAGATTGGTTACGAACTTTACTGTAACCTTTTTAGGAAAAATACTTCAACCATTGAAATATGGTTCAAATATACATGTAAGCTCCTTTTGGAGAACCACTCACTTATGACAGATGTTGACTAGCATTGTGATAATGCACCATGCAATAATCCAACCTCCACAGAAGTACATCAAGTACTGAAAATTAATTTCTAACTCAAACCATCACCCTTTTCTCACTTTAACAATATCATTTTGACCATCAGACAAAACTGATTCATAACACCGTTGAAGTAGGTATTCAGTTGTGTTTTCTGGTGCAAGAGTAGTTGTTGTAGTAGTAGTAGTGGTATTGGTATCAGTAGAATTGGTGTTTGTAGAGTTCGTTGAGTTGTTGGACATTTTGCAGCAACCCAAAGCAGAGTGAATGAATGAATGTGCTGCGTAGGCCAGTTGATGTTTGAGAATTGTTACCTTGGAAGCGCCATTGAATATTCTAGATGGTTCCATTCACTTGTTTGCCACCTTGTGATTTTTCTCCTTCTGAATACTTTGATTTTTGGAACTTTCCATTTGATCCTACTGTACCCAGTGAGTTCAAATGTTCGTTATATCTTTTCTGTAGTTATAAAACTCGGTATCTTATTCATCTTCAAATAATATTAATAATGCAAATCCACAATAAAATATGGCAATTTTGGTACAGGGGTTTTGTTTGTTTGTTTGTTTTCTGTCGTCGCCAGAAAAACAAGATTTGGCAGGTGGATGGGTTTTTGGGGTTTGTGAAATACAATAGAATGAAAGAAGAGGATTGCAAAATAGACCAATTTGTTAGGAGGAGAATGTGAAAAGGGAAAAAAATCTATAATACAAAAGAAATGAAACAATACTGTTCTGAAAAGACATTATGTCAATTATGAAAGAAACCACAGAGGAAAGAGAGAAGTGGGAAATTGGGTTTTTGAGGAAATTTTAAAACTTTAAGAAAAAAACATACAAAAAAGACTTTTGGGAGTTGATCGTAATACAAAAATTTTGTTGTATAAAAGAAAAAAAAACATACGAAATTTCATAAAGAAAACCGCGTCATTAATTTTTTGATAGTTTTGCGTATTGTTATAGAATACAGAAGGGGAAAATAGGAAATAACTGAGAGAATAAAGCTCGGAAAGGAAGAAAAATAACAATTGGATCGATAGAGGTTTTGAGCAACTTTTTCAATGGAAAAATTAGAGAATCTTATCAGATTCGCAAAGGTTTAAAGTATTTGGCACTCTTTTGAAACCCTCCAAAAATTTAGTTTTTGGTTTTCGAGAGATGTAAGATTTTGAGAAAGATAGGGAGATAAGTGAACAGTTTTCGTAAGAAAGGATCAGCAGGACAGTTTTAGTTAACACAGGATACAATTATTTTCATGGATTTCAGAAAATTCTAGTGTCAGTGATTACAGCCGTCAAGCTAACCATTTGGTAACAATTCTATAATTGAGGAAAGTGAGATTGTATGATGAGATTTGGTATTATCAATTAGGACGAATGTCACACGTCGTGCATTTTTCCTTCCTTGTTGTCACAATAGTTATTCCATAACGTTTTCGCTAATTCATAACACGGAAGTTCACCGGCATGTGTGGCAACCATTCGAAGAAGGAAGACACCATCCTGAATATGTATGAAATTTCGGTGAAGATATTTTTGGTTCCTAACTTTTAGTACAGTATCGGTCAATAAGATATACATCTACGTATTTTTCAGTCAGGAGTATGGACCTCAGCTGTCAAGTTTCCAATCAGTTTGAAAATTCAGAAAGTTGTAAAACTGTCCTAGACTCAAAACTTTGTATTCACAGGAATTTTCGGAAATTCCTACTTTTCAGCTATTTGCCAATTTCTGAAAGACGTCTGTTTTTGACGTTTTCAGTACAAAACGGCCCAAAAAAGGTTGTCTTTCAGAAATCAACTAATACCTGAAAAACTAGGAATTCACGGAAAATTTGTATTTGCGAAATCTTTAATCTAGGCCTGTTCTACTTCCTCCAAAATTTTCAAAATGATCGGAAACTTGACACAAAGGACGTTGTCGATATTTTATTGACCGGTACTGTAGGCCTGAATTTTTTCCATCTCATTATCCTCAAAAACCGCAATTCTGTGAGTGGAACAATAATTTTGTGAAGTTGAAAAAAAAAATGATGTTCGAAGTTTCAATTAAAAAATTTCAAGTTGGCTAGAACTAGGGTTGGCAACGGGGCCCCCGTTTTGCGCGGGAGCCCCCGAAAGTGCGATTTGCCTTGTGGGGCGGGGGCGATCCCGGCCCCGCACTCTCGGGGCGGATAAATCTTCATGAATTAGTACCCATTAACCACGGATTCACCCTCCCCTCCCTTTTTATTTTGTTACATTTTCTATGTGAT